CAAGGTTGAAAATATATATATATTTATATATATTTTTTGTTATTTAGGGGCTAGCTCCTAGGCGCTAGCACCCCTAGATACACAAATGAAAATTCACAGTGTTTCACAGTGAATGGTAATTTAAATCTTTCTTTTTGCATTGAGACCAGTGACACTGAAGAACAGGGCTCACAGGACACAGGTGATGGTGATGAACTAATCAACCCTGGAGATGTGTGTTTTGACTTCCATTTCTATCAGTCTTTAAAGCTCAAAGCTAGACGAGCTGTACGTGATTCTTATTTGTGGACGGCTGATGGCCAGGCTGGTCACAGGAGGAAATGGCAGTAGATCAGAAGTGAAGCAACACATGACACTGTGGTCAGAAGTGTCATGTGTTGTAGGTCCAGCTGAGTTTCAAGGTTAGAGAGCAATGAACCATTACTTCAGACCCAATGACGCACATGATATGTAACGGAGGACGCTGGACCAATTCAAAACACACACACACACACACAATAAAAATTGCTGTTACTGATATTTTCGACAATGCAGGCGCTACTGTCTCCTACAACGTGAGAAGAAGAAGAAGGAGGGACAGAAAAGGCAGAGGAATCAAATCCAATTTTTTTCTTATTCTTATTTGTTTCTGCTTAAAAAACACATCAAAGTCAGTTTACTGACTGAGTTTCAAGGCCTTGAACTATTCTGTTGTCAACAAATCGATCTCTCAGAGCCTACGCAGGATTGTTTTTGGAGGGAACTATGTGTAATACTGTGATACTTTTATTTTTTTCACTCTTAAATCATTCATTAACTGGACCCGAGTCATCTCACTTTTTTAAGGTAAATAATTGGCAAATGAACGGCATGACTGTGCATGAAAAGCGCACGAAAAAAAAAACTGCTTAAATCTAATGTTAGCAAACTGACGCTCTCTCTCTCTCTCTTTGTAACTGAGTCTTAGATAAATAATGCTAATGTGGAGCTAAATTGGATTTTTGTAGCTAATAGCGGCACCAAAATGTTCACATTTGCATACACCTGCTGTGTGATTAATGTCGCTGCCACATTGTCTTCAGTAATTATTCAACTGGCTGGTGGCAGAGTGGATCAGCTGTAAACAACATGATCTTTGTCACGGCTTTTCTTGGTTCAAGTGTGGGCTAATGCTTAAATTGTAACTCTATTGCAGGTAAAATAAGGCCCAGGGGCCCAGGCACAGACCGGAGTGCTTTAGTCCATCAACTGCATTTCTCGGTATGCTAATGTACTTTATAAAGTCACACAAGCAAGCTAAATAATGGCAAAAAGCTATGATATTTTGTACCCCAGTGACACAGCATCAATTATAGATTGAAGAAAACGTGTAATATCAAAAACCTTCAGGCCCATAGTTTCCTGAATTGACGTGAATAGAGAGGTGACCCTGTTGATACTGGTGCCACCTACAGGATAAAGAGGAAGAGAGAGGAAAAGCGTGTGTATTAGCATATATGAAAGAAAGGTCAAATGTATGGAAAACAGTTTCTCTTGTGGGGATGGTGCTCTATGGGTGATGTTCTTCTCTTTTCCTTCTTCAGTCAAAGACAACATCTATTTTATATCGACTCATCTGACCAAATCAAATCAGTCTGTGATGAACTTCTGCCAGTTCACCTTAGTTTTTCTTGGAGTGAAATTTTACGTTTATTCACGTGAAATGCTTATTTTTTTGGCCCCTATTCTTGGCTATTTACACACGTTTTACAAGTTAAATATAAATCGTCTATGACGTCACATTTATGGTTTAGATATAAGACATTTTAATGGAATATAAGTAATCAATACCTTAAAAATAAGTTTTTAATGTTCTTAATAAAACAGAGTTGTAATCCGAATATTTTTGTTAGAAAATTCCTAATAATTTATCCACGCCTGGGTTAAACATATTCTAAAATCTACCTTTTCAAATGACTCTGCCGTTAATAAGATTTGATGCTGTTAATTCAACTATTTTCCAAGTCTCCTTAATTCTTAAATGTTACATTTTTCCCACAAACACAGAATCTAATGTCACAGTTATTACACAGCTCCAGAGACACAGTTCACCTCCAAGTCCTGGATCTGTACTTTTAATTTAAGCCCTTCGCAGACACAAAGAACAAAGATTTGCCTTTATTCAAACTCCAAAGAAGGAGTATAAAATATCTTCTCTTCCTCAGGTCTGTCCTGATCTAAAAATGGCTCGCTCCTGTTTCGGAATTTAATGTCTTTAACTTACGTCTCCGTGAAGCTTGAAAGGCCAAATAATAGTAATTCAATTAATGCGTCCTTGACTGACTCATGCAGTCTCAGGGAGAATGGAGTAAACCATAATTCCCCAAATCTCACACTTTTCCCGTAAAAGGCTGAGAGTCAGACCCCCCTCAGGAGAGACATTACACAGATTTACACAGCCAACGGCTGCACTGACATGTTTCTCCCTGCTTTATAAATCTGTCCGCTGAACCTCTCTGCTGTGACGACACAACAACAGAACACTGTTGTACGAAGCAGCTCAGAGCTGAGGTCAATGGAAAAACAGAGAGGCTTTTAAAATTCACAACAAAAACGGCAACGATAGGAGTCGGTAAAAAACAAAGTTTGGCTCCAGGGCCATACATGGCATTTGGAGGTAAAATTTTACATGGCCCTTGGCGTCTTTAAAAATAAGGTCAATTATTTCTGGTGGACAATAAGAAATTGTTATTTTGTTTTTTATTTTCAAAATAATTCTAATGCTACCTTTTAGCCACTATTTGATTTATTATATTAATTACATTTACTGTAGCTGTTTCCACATTTATTGGTTAATGATTTAATGTGATGTTCCTAACTAGTCTTTACCCAACTTTTTTTTAAACTTTATTTATAAATGTATTAGCTTTTGTTGCTAACTCTCAGTTATCATGTTCCCATTTTTAACCCACCAGGGTTAAAATGTCTTTGACTATTTCTATAGTGTATGACACTGTGCTTAACCGTTAACTATTATGAATGATTTTCTTTTAAATTCAAATCATTTTTTCAGTCATCGGCTAGTGATCGTCTTCATTGGCTATCTATTAGCTGTCTCTACGTATTCAATGAATTCCACCGTCCATCAGTATAACTATATTTACATTCTATTACTGCTACACTTCCGTTTCCCCCTGTGGTGATGCTTTTTTTTTTGCTTTAATCTAGTGTTCATTTAGTAAATTAGGCATTAACTAAAAAACATGACAACTCTTTGCTCTGACACAGGGATAATTTAGGTGTTAACCTGATGAAGCAGCGGTGGCTGGAGTCAAATCTGGAGTCTCGTTCATTTTGTCACTATGTGTTACACACACACTGTATTGAAATGGGTCTGCACTTTGTTCCATTTAATGCTCGAGGCTCCGGCTCCTGCAAAGACACTCAGTTGCCCTTTGTCTAACAAAAGTACTTTTCTTAGGGATTGATCACCACAGTCTGACAGCAGCGTGCGCTCAGACTCAGGCGGCCAACTGTAATCATCAACCACGGCTCCTTCTCCCGCCTGCATTTCAGGCTTCAAGGCTTCGTTTATATTTGCCCAAAGTTTCCCTGAGCTAAGCCTCCCTGACCTATTACCCAAAGTCCTACAAAACCTGGTTTGTTCACTCAGGTCCCTTTAAAAAGCACACACACGAACACACACACACACTGATGCACTTGTGAGCCAGAAGTTGTTCCTTGTTCCTTTCCACATAGTCATAAAATTTATTTTTTGAACCAAAGAAGATGAAGACTGTTGTGTAATGACATCAGCATTTGCTTCTGGTTTTCCCAGGGCAGCAGCAGCACTAGCATTAGCAGTGGCAGCAGCAGCAGTGTGAGGTGAGGTTACGTGGTGGCTGAATAAAAATGAAAGCCTATCAGTGTGTGACAGATACCCCACTGTCACGCTCCACTATATTTAAAGTCCCTCCACTTACCCCCGCTCTCCGTACTTGCACCCACGCCTGTCTGCTTCAAAAACACTCCTCCTTCAGTAGCGCACGTTAATCCAGGCCCAGCGGCTCCTTCGTCATTATGTTTAATAGGCTGTCACAACATGTCCAGCACCAACTGTTGCTGTGTGTGGTGGCAGTGATCTGTAAAGCCCTCTGTGCTGCTGTCGTCCACAGGACACACCATGCTTTACAGTATACAATAATAAACAGCCTGTTCTGTCCGTCCCAGTGAAGGGAGCCATAGGCTGGAGCCTGTGGGAGAAATGTGTCATTGGTGGCTGATCATGCTTTGGTCCACGGCTCATAAGAAAACTTCGACTCATTAGTAACAGTTGAAGGTTAGGATCCACATGTGTTAAAGCCAGACAGTGGGAGGAACTGTGTTGACTTTGGCCATCTCTGATGTCAGTCCAGAGCCATCAAGGTTATAACTCAGGAGTTATACCTGCAGGACTCATGTCTGCTAAGATTAACTGTACTTTTAGTAGCAATCTGCAGTAATTGACTAATTTGAGCCTCACGTTGTGTTGGTGCAGCGGGCACTCTACCTGCTGGACGAGGCCTTAAGTCAAAGTGACACAAAACCTCATTAAAACCTGTGCAAAGACTGACGTGTCACATTTTCCTTCCTTATGCTGCAGACGTTCATAATTGTGAAATATGGTAAAGAATATCAGAAGAAAAGGCTGAATTTAAGACGTGCCTTTGGGTTTTTTTTATATGAGGTTAATAACATGCAAATATTACAGTAAATATTTTAGACATGGTGTAAATTTTTTTTTCAACAAAAATGTTATTTTCACTCACCTTTTTAAAATCACCACCTGGATGCGCAGCGTGTTTTTATTAGAACTCTATGAAGCAAAAATACTGGTTATACTTTTTCATATTAGTCTTGAAATTTTACCATATGAATAATTTCATTATTAGGGATTAGTCACAATTTATCTTTTATCTGTAATTATATTAAATACAAGTTATCATGAAATCCTAGTGATTCTTCCAGTTATTCATCTGATTATTCATTTAATCCATCAGTTTGAGAGCCACAATTATTATTTAATCTCTAACTCTACCTGATTCATTTTATTAGTCATTAGTAGTTTTTTTTGTTTTTTTTTTACAAATTTGAGCATTTAGGAAAACAGCAGAAATAAGCTAAGTTATTTTCTGTTAAGTTTCTGTGTGTAAAAGTCTGTTCAAGCAGCTTACCCCCGGTCATCCAAAAAGATGTGTGTGTAATGTATCAGAAACTTTCCACAGCATGAGTCTGTGACTGCGGCCTGCACTGATGATTCACAGGAGCAGCTGCAGGTGAGCCGATGGTCAGGTGTTCCTGGTTGGGACCGATGAGACTCTCAGTGGAGACTCTGAGAGCTGGAGCTGAGGAGACTACACTGTGGACTGTGGAGAGAAAACTCAGCTCAGGTGAGAACACAGTGTTTGTCAAAACAGTTAGGTTTATAGTTGAAACTTCTACATTTATCTCATATGGACACTGGTAAAACCATCAACATTCAGTAGAGTTTTATAATTAACTACAGCAAATTCAAATTGTTCTGGACACATTACTTCAGGTACAGCGGTGTGCATGAGTCTTGAGCTGCCAGACTTGGCCCTAATAAAGTCAGATTTATGATTGACAAATATCAGCTAATAACTGGTCTAATAACCAGTAGAAAAGCCTACTTTTAATTATTGTCAACAATTTTTGAAAATGTATGGTATGTCGCACCATGAGAACAGAACTCGACGTAGGTCCACTCTACTTGACATCTTATAAACTAACTTCAAAGTCTAAGTGGGACCAAAGTTCTAATCTGCAGGTTGATGAGTCTGAGGAACACAAACAGAAGGGGCCTGTGGTAGAAATCCATAAAATAATCAATGACTGTTTAATGTACTTCAGTATAACACTGGGAGGGCTCTGTCAGGGTTTAGGGCTGTATTCTGTGGTAGTCAGGTTAGGCGAGGTGAGTTGTACTTTCTCATTCTCAGGGCACAACAAAGAGAAGCAGCAGTTGCTCTAAACCAATGCACACCGCTGTGTTCTAACATACACTGTATGTACACAAGGTTGTTCGTTTGTTTTCCATCTCCTCATTTAGTCAGTGAAGACAAGGGCAATCGGACAAGGACAAAAGACATAAATGCTCTTGTACCAAAACAATACAACAGGCCAGAATGCCCTCAGAAATATTTCTGCTACACGATTTTCTTGTCGAGATTGTACAGTTGGGTAATTTTGTCCTGGAGAACCTGTTGCATCCCTGCAGATTATCAAAAATACATGGATCTAAGTGAGGACATGCTTCAAGTTTCAGTTTCTGAATACATCAAGTTCAGCACAGGACTCTGCACACACACGTAAGTCTGCTCTAAAGTCCAACAAAAGGAGGATCTTACAGTGATACACTTAAAATGCATAATAATGCATAAATGTACTGTGATGTCTCTCTTGTGATGGACAGCAAGTTTGGACACCATGCAAACTTGACAACTTTGTACAAGTTTATAAAAATGACGGCTTACACGTAGCATAAAACAGCAGTATCACTTGTCTAAGTCAGTGCTCGTCAACGTTCTGAGTCAAGACCCCATAAAAACTGACACCGTTCACCTGATATAAAATAGCAACTATAAAGATGTTTTTCTTTGATAAATTTGGTGGCCACCGCCTGTCAGAGTCATCTTTGGACCCCATGTGGGGTCTTAACCCAAAGGTTGAGAATCACTGCTCTAAGCAAACACTATTGCACAAATATAAACAAAATATCTTTTTGAGGTGACACACGTTTTTCCAAAGAACACAACAGTACATAAATATTGTTGTTTTTCTTATTACTTGTACAGGAAGGCGGTTAAGCTTCCTAAAAATGCAATAAAACCGCTGTTCTGATAATTCAATCCCATTCTTTTTTTTTGTCAGGAGCTCCTGCTATGAATCTCCACTTCAGCTGAACAATTAGAATTTAGTTCTGTAGACTTTTGGTTGTCATGAAATCGTGACCACTAGTTACAGATTTTTGACTTTATTGCATTTTTAGACTTTGTACCAACTTCCCGGAACGGGGGAGGAGGGTGGGGTGTAATAAGGTCAGTCAGTTCATGCGTCTGTACGGACTGAGCTGAGTATAGGAATGTACAGTTGTCATGCATGTTTCAGACGCCCTGCTCTACAAAGCAATGGACAATAGGTGGCAGACTTTGCCCACTTTGTACACAGCCTGGCAGTATCCTGTCATATCTTGGAAGGAGGAAAGAGGGTAAAGACATGCACGGGACATATATGTACATATATATGTATATATTACTCTCTCTCTTTTTCTCTCTCTCGACATGCACACGGATGGATATTTGGCAGCAGTAGCATCAATATGTGGTATTACTGAGGAAAGTACAGGTACACTTGAGACCGTTGTTGTTCGTTTTAGTCCGTCCAGTCTCAGCCTTATGTCTGCCCCTCTGTACACTCTACTCTCCTTTTCTTCCATCCTTCCTCGTCCACCTCTCTGCAGGACAGCCGGAGAGACTGGCATTTCTCTCACAGCAGGGGTTTAGCTGGGGAGGGGTGAATGTGCACAGAGCTTTAGCCCACGCTGAGTAAAGACAGGTCCTCTGTGTGTGTGTGTGTGTGTGTTTGTCATATAAACAAACTGTGGACCCTCTGATGAACACCCACCTGAGATTTTCTCAGTGTCCAGGAATCTTTTTTCACAGTTATCATCACTTTCATTTCAGAGACATTTGGCACAGCTTTATGATAATGAAGGTTGACCTCCCAATCAAACAATAAGCCTCACAAAAAAAAAAAAAAAAAAAAATCCCCCAAAGCACTGTTTCAGGTTATTGGCCATCAAAGGCTCCTCTTTCATTAAAGGACTGGCTTCATCATTATGTTTCTACCTGGTACTTTCTGCAGGAATGGAGCCAAATTGGTAGAGAGTAAACAACTCCAAGGGTAAAGAAATACATAGAACCTCTTTCAAGTCTAGGGAAGATTAAAAAAAAAAAGCAAAAAAACAACGCAGCTCTAATGATCCAGTCCAACAACAAAGAGAATGCAAATAGAGAAGGGATGGAAGCGCAGCTGATGTGCTCCCGCTGTATTGATGGGACAAGATGAGGGCAAGACCTGGGTCAGCCCTTCAATTAAAAATAAATGTAAACTGCTGATAGATAAGCAGACAGGGTTGAGGAGGAGGAAGTGGGACAGAGTCGGGGGCGGAGAGTCACAGATGACTGCTGTTGTCAGATATGCTAATGAAGCGCGGGTACCGGTGAGGAGGAAATAGCCAGTCGGGGTTCGATCCCTCTGCTTTTCATGAAAGACAGCAGCTGGTCGGGGATCTCTGCGAGGACATCTTTAGCCAGCCGAGCCATGCTGAGGACCTGGTTGCCAGATCTGTCAATGTAGTCTCTGAAAGGAACAAACTAGAAGGAAAATAAAGAGTTCTGGTTATTAACTCAGTGTAGGTTTTCAATTTTGTTTAAACAGAAAAAAAAAGTAGATTCTGCCCGCAGTCCAGATATTTAACTCTTTGACAATCACCTTTCTGAAGAGGAGACTCAAACATTGGGGACTAATTCTATGTGCAAACTGCCAAGTTCGTATTTGTAGTAGTGACGAGAAGTATAATTTAAAGGATGAGAGATGAGGATGTGGTATACTTGAGTCTCTCATTTTGGTAAAAAAACAACAACAATTCTTTGGTAGAAACAATAGAAGATGATTTTAGTTTTTATTTTTGTTTCTCAACAATTGCAGAGAAGACTTTTGTTTATTTTATGCCACTTCCAGCCTCACCGTGATCAGATAATTGTCAGTTTTGTCACAGACTGATTCTGATGGGTTTTTAAATTTGCCATTAAGCCTTTATCTGTGTGGTGTGACCTGCGCGACCTTCCCCTTCTCTTCTCTCGGTGAATTCCCTCATAAATTTGACCTTTATATAATGACACCTAATGCCTCCTGCGACACTTGGCACTCAGTCAATCCAAACTTAGCACAGGTGCCAATGTCGTGGAATACAAATAAGGAGAACATTTTCAAGGCACCAGTAATTACGTTTTGATGCGTACAGTAAACGCAAACTGTTCTGGTCTGTAGTGGAGGAAGTCTTGCTATAGAATCAGTAATAACAGGAAGTGTCAAGGAACGCAATCTCAAGATAAATGTATGCATGCAAATGTGATTACTGCCGTCAGTGATCCAACCTGGAGAGACAGGTCTGTGGAGAAGGTAATAATGAAACCTGTACAGCCTCTGAATGAAAAAGAAGGATAATTAGTGATTAAACTGCTGTGAGTCCATGTAGCAGAAGATCAACGTGGTGCGTTATTATTATCCACTTTATTTATAATGGAAATAAAAATAAGCCTAAAGGTGAAATAAACATTCATTCACCACACTGGCGAGAAAGGACAATATTACCGATGGGAGACATGATGTTCGAGGTCACACAGATCCTACAGACTGTTCTGGTCTTTCAACAATGTGTGACAGCAGCTCAGACTCAAAGGTCATTTCATTTGATCCAGAGCCACCTGCTGGGTTACTGCCCAGCCTCATACGGTAGGTGGACCTAATAGACTTCAGCTGAGCCATTCCAGCTACAGTAAAGCAGGCACGACCACACACCCGTGTCCAATGAGCCCACATCCAACCTTAAACCTCATCTCCACCAGTTGTTCCAACAGCTCCGGGTGTTTGGAACGTTTTCAGTCTTCATTTATCTTCTCCTGTTAGTTCACCTAGTTACAGAGACTTCTCACAAACACGGCTGACTGCTGCGCTTAAAGGCACATTCGGTAATTGCTTTCCAACGGTATGACGTTCTTTAAAGTCTATAGATGTGTTTCATTAAAAATTCCATTTTACAGCAGATTTAGATTTAGGTTTAATAATATTTAAGGGCTTGGTTTCTATGCAAGGAAAAAGAAAGGTCTCCAACCGTAAATATCACACATGTAACGTGTAACATCACAGTAAGTGTTGAGTCACATCTGATGGAGTTAGTGCCATTGTGTTTGAAAACAGCTGCTTTAGCTGCAATCTTCCAGCAGTTCCAGGCCGTGGAAACAGCACTTAATGTCGGGCATTGACTGTACATTTGATATGACCTAAATAAACAACTACAAAATAATATTTTTGTAGTTGTTTGTCTGAACAACTTTAGATGGAATTTCTCATTTTCCTCACAGCCTTCTGGGCTGAGATTTTTTATTGTGATTCATTGTTGAACCTGCACTCTATAACAAAGAGATAAATATTTGAAACATTTCGGGGAGTTAGACCTTCTGAAAATGACTCATGTTAATAGTGAATATTTTGGTTTTACTGATTCATCTTTGGCTTTCATACTGTCTGTTATTAACTTGTGATGGACAGTTACAAAGTATTCCTGTTCTTCTTGGACCTGGACTGTAGAAGTTAACATGTCATAAATGTCTGAAAAATCCAAATCAACACTGGAGAAATCGAGAAAATTCTAGAATGAGTGTTTTAGTGTTTGTCTTCCGAAAATAATCTGCCCTTTTCTGGGATCTCTCTCCCCCACGCTGTTGCTGTTGACAGGAAATGTGCCCACGGCTAAACCTGCAAAGTTATTGTAACAGAAATGTGACAAGTACCTGAACAATGTCTCTCTCGGCGAGACGTCCTCTGGAGGAAACTCTCACCTCGTCTCCATCCAGCTCCTCCATGGCTGTGGGACAGAGAGTAACAGAGGAAATGAGCTACTGGAAATCACCACAGGAAGATAGAGGGTGTGGATTTTGTCTGCTTTTCAACTTGGCTGAAGCAGTGGCTCAAGTGATGCACGGCATAGTATTTGGTATTTACTCTCTTTTTCTTCTCCTTATAAATCCAAACTTTTACCTATTAATAAAACTGATGGGCAATTTTGCTGAAGGTGAAAAAACTGAAATGATTGAGGAAAAAATTGAGAAGGATACAACATAATTTAAAAGTGCATTTACCTTCAGACTTTCCCACAGCGTTTTCTATTTATGGCCAAATATAGACGGACGTGTTTGCTTCCAAATTGCACTTTGATGGAAATGTTAGTCTGAGGGCGGCTTCGAAGCAGCGCCTGCACAGCAGTGTGAGTACTGCATCGGCACTCACCCTGTGCAAACACAACCTGGATGTGTGGCAGTGCATTGTGAGGTCAATACATATACCGTAAATGGAAAACATCAGGGCAGAGAACAGGGCAGAGATGTCATGATGATGTAATGACATTTTTAGTAGGTATAAAACTCAGAAAAACACAGTCAAACGAGACCTTATTCAATCTTCGGTGGACGTGAACAGGATGAACCGGGTTAGAAAAGGATCAGAGAAGGCAGATCAGAGATAATGCAATGGTTGAATAGCAACAGATAACGTCGGAGAGGCAGAGAGGTTGAGACGTTACGCTGCAGTAGTGGAGATAGTGGACAAAGACTGTTGGAGAAGTAGCTGCCAGGCAGGAGATAAAAAGACAAGATTCACTGATGTGTACTGAAGGAGGATGTTGGTGTGGTGTCAGAGGAAACGAGGGGATCAGATGAGATGGTAAGATGAGGAGCTTCAGAAGTGGTGATAACACATCACTTTGACTATGTCAGTGCGTTCTCTGGCAGTTACAATGTTAATCTGGTCAGTTAAAACAGACCTTAGACATACCTACTGTACTTCCCTGTACTATGTCTTAATACTTACTTAAATTCTCATCTGACCCTAGAGTATGTCTTGAATCTAAAAAAATGTTTACAAATAAGTGGGCCTCTGATAAAGTCCCCACAAACACATGGTCCCGACTGCTCTGGTGTGTATACATAAATATGTCCCCACGAGTAAAGTGATAGCAAATCTTTACATACAGTAGATTCACACAAACACGTAGGTCCTAGTATCACTTCTCTTTAGAATACATACACCTTTCTTCTACCATGTTAACATTGTCAGATTTATTGATGGGCCAATACTGAAGAGGGTTTGACAACTGGAGCCATCAAGGCAAATATTACTCCTGATTGTCATCCTATATGAATTTCTGCAGGGCATTTAGGTTCAATAAATACAGAGAGAGAGAGCGCTGACCTGAGGATTTATCAACAAACAAACACACACTGGGTTAAGTTATAACTAATGACTTACTCATGATTCTCTGTAAGTGTGAAAAATGTAACATTATGTGTTTTTAATGGTTTAATGAAGTCACTGAGGCCTTCTTGGTGTTCTCTGCATTAAATATTCATGTCTTTACACACATTAAAGCTCATTATTTATTAATATTTTTCACAGGGCGTGACCAGGAGTCTGAATAGATTTTACTACCATTTTTTTTTTACCTTTTGCTAAAATACCACTCACCATCAAACTCTGCAGGACCAACACCAACAATGATTATGGACATAGGGAGTCCTGCTGCCTGTGGAGGAGACAAAGGAAAGATACATAATACAATGAGAATATTCAGTGAGCATGACTCACACCTTTGTTGTTTTAAGATGACTTAGTTTGACAGCTGAGGTTATCAGAGACTTATGTCGAGAAGTGGAGAGAAAATAACATTTACAAAATGTATTTTTAAACATCAGTCAACTCTTAACAGCAGTCTAGAACAACTACTGACCTGAAGGGGAGGAGGACATTTGTATTTATCATTTCACACAGAATATTTAGACGTGTTTTTGCATGATTGAAAGAAAGCATCTCATTCACAGGACACTTGACAAGTGTGTGTGTGTGTGTGTGTGTGTGTGTGCACCTCTACTCACATTGACCACAGCCTCTTTGGTCTGGACCATGTCTGATATCACTCCATCTGTGATCATCAACAGGACAAAGTACTGAGAGCCATCTGTAATCTCTGCAGCACAGCTGTGGAACACAGACACACACATCACACACACACACACACACATCCATCAGGTTCACGTCTCTACACCTGAGGAGTAGATTGCTAAAGGAAATATAAAGCGTAGCACAGCTTGTCTGTTAGTCCCAAGCCATACCGCTCTTGTCTGGCCTGGATTACAGCACATAAACATGAATATTTAGCTGCTCCTGCTGGAGGATTGGTTTATGTCAAACCTGCAGCATCATATACAGACATTTAAACCCCATATTATTAAAAACCAAATCTAGTCTCAGACACTTTGGGTCTTTATAAGACTTCTATATTTTATTATTAGTTTTTCTGGTGGTTTTCTGGTGTGTAAATTATTTATGTTTGGCCATGTTAGTAAGACAGGTACTTCAGTGGTGGAGTTTACATATATGTTACTCATAATACATTTTTCATAATTCATTTTAGGAAGTCAAAAACAGAAAAAAAATTGCATTAAAACTTACTTGGCAACTTTGCTTATAACAGGTGCAAAGTTGGTTGGACCATAGAGCTGCACCGTCCTCAGACTTTGGAAATAAGCCTCCAGGACGCCTTCTATTCCCACACAGTTTGGATTATCACTGTCACCATTCTGCAATGACACAAGCAACTCCTAATTATGCTTTCAACTACTAAAATGGTTGGGTTTGTTAACAGAGGATCCATGTTTGAATCCAAACTGTAACAGCTGTGTGGAGTTTAATGCCGAGGATAGAGTTTGTTGTGTTTTTGTGTCTGGATATGCAGCCAATACTTCATTGAGACTTGGGACTGAAGGACGCAAGACTATCTTTCAATCAAAATGTTTACCTCTTTATGTCAGTGTTTTGTTTCACGGCTCAGACGAATCTGTTCATTAGAATGAGTCACGTATAAATAATTATATTCAGGAATGATTTATTACAGCTTGTCATCATACTTTCCTCTGATGAATGTAAAAGGAAACATCTCACAAATAAACCCTTTTTTCACACCTAGAACATTTTTGGCATGTTTTGATTAAAAATTGATGTTTCATTCTTTTTTATGTTTCAAGCTCTGGATATGAAACTCAGACACCAACAATGACATAGTGCAAGTAAACAGAGTTCTGGTATTGATTTAAGTTTGAAAAGGTTTTTTTGGACCTTAAATTGGTATCTCAGATGTGGAGTGTTCGAGGTCTAGGGTGTAGGTTCCTTAGGTAAGATTTTTCACAATCTCTTCTCTGCGGGGTGAATTATAACCCAGAGACATGTTTTAATGAGAAGGAATTTGCCTGTCTTGTGCGATGACTTGGCCCATGGAGCTCAGTCAGTGCTGAATGTGTGTCTGGACATCCAGTGACAGTGGATCAAAATAAACCTTTTTTTCATTCAGCTCACTGCAAACTTTCAGTTTAATTGCTATTCAAAAAACAGACATTAACAGACATCAGAGAAATTTCTCATGGTAACACGTACACACACACTCAGTTTGTGAGTTTTTGCTCCTCTGCCCTCAGGAGGATGTGCAGGGGATGCTGGGAGATTCCCGCTGGCAGGAAGATGAGCCAACTTCTAAACTCGTGTGACCAGCTGCTGTCACAGCAACAACTCCTGGGCCACACCACACCCTGCTAGGAGTAAACTAGATGGGTGTGTCTGTGTGTGTGTGTGTCCTTTTGCATGTGTGTCTGTGTGTGAATCTTACCAGGGGGAAGGCATGGGAGACTTTGCCATCAGGGGGCAGCTTAGCTCCGAAGCCATAGGCAGGGAAGAGCTTGTCGCTGTCGTAGTCCTGGATAATCTCACCCACCGCTTTCAGGGCCATGGCATATGCATTCATCTGGTACGGGCTCATATAGTGGAGCGAGGTGGGCTGAGACGGGTTACCTACGGAAACACATACAACATGGTCGTAGAGTGAATTTCATGTCACTTTCCTAAACTGTTATAATCTACAATGTGTTCAAATGAAACATAATCATGTGCCGTAAAATATAAATAACTAGTAATATAGACTGATTTATAACTGGTGTCAGCCGAGACAAACATATATTTACAATATATAAACAATGGTTAATCTAGTTTCTTCAAGTTGCCTTCAGGGTCCATCGTGACGTTACAGCAGGCACCTTCAGAGCCACAGCAAGTTTACGGGTGTAATGGTTCTATCAGCTCTATTTAAAGATATTTAAATGAAAATATCGGTGAAAGAGTTTGGTTTGGTTCCTTAATTTTTGTCAGCATTATTGTCAGCACTTCAAATCACTTCTAATAATAATTCAACTGTGTTAATCTGATGCAATATATTTGTGGTTACTTGAAATAATCATTAATAATGAACTAATACATTAACCTGCCGATTCATAGGATATATACAGTATATATTCCTGTGTTTCTACTGTGTATCATAATTAACGTGGTGTGGTCATTGAAACAAGTCAGTCTTACCTAAACATTTTCTATTAAAATTACACCTCTTTTTGAAAGTTACAAACATTTACACACTAACACTAACACTAACTAAACAGAAGTGTAACATAACAGTAATGTATTCTGCCAAACCCATTTAACTTCCCACTGTGTCTCAAGTTTACCTCCTACCGGTGAGAAATACTGTCGACATTTAACCCCACCCTGTGCATCCAAAATGTAATACTTTACCATAGTCATTTACACACAGTTTGCTATTTGTTGGATGGTGGTTGGATTCTTTTTGTTTTTTGAATTTTAATTCAACAAAAATTGCTTCTTTTGTTTTGGTGGACTGAACATCAAGCACTGATATGGCCCTCCAAGCAAGTGATGGTGGCAGCAGTGGCCCTCAGGAGTTTAACATACCAGATACAGCCCAAAAGCTCCCTTTTAATTCATGAATCATTTTATTCATGTAAGTATGAAACACTGTTATATAAAATAGCTCAGACTTCCTGCAGTGAACTTTCTTCTCCGCCTGTGTCTCATTCCAGGTCTGTCTGTGTTAATACAGCTGTGATGACTGAACCAGGATTTTCTCAGAACTTTACCCAGTTTTCTTTTGGCCTTTTCTTTTCTCTTTCACCTAGCCCTACTTTTAACACCTATTTAGTATATGAGACTTGTATTACTGCCTGTCTCTTTGTGAGCGACCCACATGTGCTACTTGACCTTATTGTTAGACTTCACTGCTTTTGAGATTGTTTTTTTGTGGGAGACTCAGACCTGCCCTCTGTGGTATATAGGTCATAGGTCAGGAAGTTCATACCATAATTGAACTGAAATAAAGATGTTTATTAAATGTGTTTTTCCCTTATTTATACTTTCATTTTTACATTAATAGTATCAGTGTTTTCTTTCTGACTGCTGGTTACCCAAGATGGCTGATTTATCACTGAGGAGTGAGGTCTGTCACGTTTGATGTGGATTTGAAAGATTTGGTTCCGATTACATCTGGTCTACAGTTTGTTTGTTTTTTAAATGCTACGGCTGGAAGACAGTTGAAAGCTAACAGTGACTCTCTCTATATATTAAAAAGCAATGCAACAGTCCTAACTTACCATTCGATGCTGTGAAGTCTATGGCCACAGTGAAATTCAGTTGGGTTCTGGTAAAGGAATAAATAATGATCAGACAGTTGTGTCAACACAAAAATACAAATAATAACTACTGTAAGTTTGGTAATAATCTACAGTTATGACATACTGGAGGATCAACATTACTTTATTCCGAACAGTCCATGATTAAGACATATGACCACAACAAGCCTGTAATGTCAAGATATTTTCTCGCCCTTCTCCTGGTGAGATAGGAGATGGACTCAAGAAGAGAGCACTCAAAGACCTGATAAGGGATAAGTGACCTTTCCAAAAGGGTTTCTGTCATTGAGTTCCATTGGAACACCGTGGAATTTTAGTCTCAGTGAAGTGAGAGCCAGATACTGGAGTCAAAGTGTGAATCGGCCAGGAGCTGCACTCAAAGCTGAGGACGTAAGGAACTGAAAGCTATCCCGCTATCACCATCAAATTGACTATGCTCCATAACGTTGCAGGGGTGTGTGCTATTTCCAATGGGATATCTAGACTCTCGACTGTCGTAGGTGCTCAGTCTGCCCGGCTCCTGGAAGGAGAACAGGGCACCGGAGGAGAACCTGTCTATTTTAGTATTCTCTCTCAGAGGATGGTTGAGCTGCAGAGTGCTGGACTGTGAGCAGAGATAGAGAAAGTTGGGCCATCATATCAGTGCCATGGAGCCAGTTTCTGACAGTTTGGACAAAAATCGTCCACATCCGTAGGTAGTTGCGTTTTTATTGTGGAACTGTAGCCATGCTACACCCACAGTTTTTATTCTTGCACAAAGAAGAGACCAGTCCTGCTGCTTCAACCATGCCCTTTGGTCCTTGGTCTGTTGGCCAACTTACAAAGTACACCAATGTATCAGTATCAGAACTTGAAAAAAGTGTATTGCAAAGGTTCAATAAATTTTGAGTTGCCCTTATTGAACACCTATATGACCCAGTATTAGACTTGTTTTTACCTCTGTGGTGCATTGTTGTCACTGCATGTCAATTTGATTTTCATCCAAACATGTGATTAAATTCCTGCTCTTTTTTTTGTCTTTTGTCAGAAAGTTTCTTTTCCGTTTTATTCCTTTGACCAGAGCTCCATAAATGAGGCACTGCCTCATTAGGACTGGGTTTAGTTCCCTACTGCAATATAAGTTTTGTATTTTTAGAAAAAAGGAATAGCAATAGTCTTTACGAGGTGACAAAACTGAGCTCACAACAAGGAAGGAAAAGACTAGCACAGAGCTGATTATCATTCCACTCACCCTCCTCGGATGAAATCCACGAAGGTGTACTCAGACTCCACTTTGAAGGACAGCAGCGTTACCTGACAAACACACACATACACACAGGAGTAATAAACAAATGTGGGGGAAGGGAAGACGAGTGTCAGAGAAAGACAAAATGACAAACAGGTGCAATTGAATCACAGGGTCAGAGAAAAAAAAGCAGATGTGGGACATGGCGAGGTTGTTGGTACTATATAGTATAAAACAATCAATAGGAACACACACAGAGAGTGAATGACAGGCGGGTATAGAAAGAGTAGGTGTACTCACTGTCCCTGAATTGATGTATTTCTTCTTTTTTCCCTTCTTTTTGGGATTTAAAACCTGTCGGCGATGAGAAAAGTTAATGACGGAGAGGGTACTTGTAAAACCACTTCACATCCTTTTATAATGATCATGAATTATTCAAAAGGTTTCATGACAGAATGGTGACAGCAGCACCGTGAACTGAAACCGGTATTATGTTCAACTGTGCACACAGAGAGCAGTGAGATGGAAATGGACTCATCCAGCCATCTATCCACGCCTGGATCCAGCCTTAAATATAGAGATAACCCCAGAAACCTTGTTACAGAACAATTCTGTCTGAGCCACGGTAGTTAAAAAAACAGTATCTTTAAACACAACCACTAGGATCACAAGAGAACTCGGGCTTTATTGATCCCCTCCAACTCCCTGGATCGATGAGCTGGGCGGAAGAAATGAAAACAGACAGATAGGTAGTTTTTTCCCCACCAAAATTAAAAAGTAAAGTCTTAGCCGGCCAGTCGGGCAGAGATCAAAATGTGTGATCTAAACAAGGGCTTTCACGGAACAGAAAGGAATGCAGAATCTTGACAGGCAGTGAACAGAAGGTGATTGTTGTTCAAACCAGTGAGAGTGAAAAAGATAGCATTAAAATTGAACAGATACATAACAATGTCTATGAAAGAATGTGATGATGTGACCTTTAACTTTGTCCCATTAATGTAACTATCTTTAAGAACAATAACAGTGTGTCAGCAGTCATATAGTGCCTACTACTAAATCTGTGATCATTTATTTTCAATGTCAAAAACATCAGTCAGCTCTGTGGGACCACGTTTTTTAACTGAAAAAATGGTGATGTCAGGGGTGCAGTTGAAAATAAACAATAAACACTTTAGAAAATAAGAAAAAAAAAAAGCTCAGTAACATCAAAGCTGGAATCCAGATGCATCAGTATTCAGGTCGTGACCTGTCTGCTTCCTGTCCAGATCATTCCATTTGAAACTGTCTGGCACTTGATAAAGTGGGAAACACAACAACCGTGACTATCTGCACAGCTTACATTGTTTTCAGGAGGAATGCACAAATATTTACACAAAATTACAATAATTGGTGTCATTAGTTTTCAAAAGAGAAACTAAATGAAAAAAAGATGTACTGTAATGTGAGTGTAGTCAACTGCAACAGTGTTTTAGATGTTTGTTGCAGAATCTGAATAAGATCAAGTTGGTAAAACCAATTAAGGCTCTGATACATATGTCAATTTTTGGGAATTTTCTTTTTACAAAATGAAACATGTATTTAATGATCACCTTTGGTCAAACACATGGTGGTTATACATTGTGTAATTTCCACTTGTGCATACATTTCTTTTATTGAACAGCTGAAGAAACTGTTGCCTGACTTGATCTGATTTTTTCCCACAAATTTTTCTCCGTAGAAACACAAATTAATGAGCAGTGTATCACCTCTGTTTCAGTGTTTCAGTTTCAGTGTTTAAGGGGGGGAGGGGGAGCTTTCCCAGGGTTACAGAACATTTATCAGCCCAGGCACTGCCAGCTGAAGTTACAATAACAACATCTTGTAAATTACGTCTTACAAGGTCCTGGTATGACGGAAATGCTGAGCAACAACAAAACACCCCCATGTCAGGTCTCACCTCGTAGACGTTGAATTGGTTCTGGCCCCGAGACAGTTCTCTGTAGCTGGTGGTGAACTCGCCGATGAAATCATGACTACAGACAAATGACACCCACACAAACAGAAACCCATGAATATGTTTCATAAGCTCAGATAAAATGCCCTCTTGGTTTGTTTTAAAAATGCACCAAATGAAAAGCCATAAATTAGAGTTGTCTCAATATCATCAGGTAAACATACTGGATAATTTGGTACAAATAAAACATTGTTAATCTAACAATGTTGTCACATTAGATATTTTATCAATAAGTTAAAAAAATATGATAAATTATACATTCTGCATATTTATCTATATTTTTGCCAATTTTGAGCCATCCCAACTAAAAATCCACCCAGGGCTCTGATGTAGCTGAAATAATCTGCACTTCATTCTACTTATCTACTGAGCAATTACTGACGGCCTAAATGTATTCCTTGTTGTTATGGAGGCAGATTAAATAATTAAGGTGTACTTGTGTAGTTGAGTGATGGAACGGGGCTTTTAAATGTTAATTTTCCTGCAGGATTCACATTCAATGTTGACAAACCCACCAATCACATTAATAACAGAAAATGTAATAATGGGATAATTGGTGAATTTAATTCTACCAGAACTGTGATTTTGTTGTGGTTAGTTGTCACGTTTACCTTCCATCTCGATCCCAGTCATAGACGTCAATCTTCACTGTCCTGGAATAAACAAAGTATAATCTGATTTATAAAGATCTGTTTTTTTATAGACCACATCATCCGCTCTCAGGAAAATGAGAACATGATGTTCCAATCTTCAAAGGCATCACATTGGGAAAGGAGCAATTTCAAATTTGCTGATTAAATAATCTCATGCTGAAGAAATGATTAGTGCAGTGCAGGAGGTACAGACTGTTATGTGAACTCGGAATCACAAAGTTTGCCCTGGTTTAATTTTTCTGAGACACAAAATGGCTTTTCCACTGCAATGGGGGGGAGGGGGGGGGGGGGAAATGAATAGACAGAAAATATTTAATGCAAATGAGGGAAACATTTGTCTCAGAGGTTCTGCATATATTTGCCAAAGACATACAGAACGGAGCACAGGAGAAATGTGAGGTGCTCCAAATGAGGAAGGCTGACAAAGGCTATCTTACAAAAATAATCACTCATCTTGTTTTCATTGACAGGGTGTGTCCATGAAAAACAATTGTTTTGGGTCAAATTGACCATTTACTACACACTGGAAATGTCATGTTAAAACAAACACATAGATATTTTCAATTTAAAACATTTGTTTTCACAACTACTCCTTTAGCTCTGCTCAATGCTAACACTTGCCATGGACAATGACAGGCTTTTCTTACCACACTCCAGCCACAGTTTCCATTCCAACCCAGTACTGAGTGAAAACTGAGTCAGTCTCAATAACACCAGTGCTGGTCCCTGCTACACCATGACCGACTGCTGGCATTATTCTGACCGCCCCAGCAACCAGTGATGTCACTCTCAGAAACTTATGTTCTTATTGGGTCAGGCAAGTTCCCTAACTTTGAGCTAATTAGGGGAGAAATTGTGTCTTCTATTTTTTTTTTTTTTGCTCCCCAAGGACATTTCCCCATTCATTACCCGGTGTCTGAAAACGTTAATCACCACAGCCTGAGAATTTGTCTCCATTTGGATTCAGAGCAGAGCTGGGCAGAGCTTCTCTGACCTGTCATAGTCTCCGTTGCACAGGGCTCTAACTGGAATAGTGAAGGGCTGCCACACCGGGTTGAGCGTGTTCTTGATCACCTCCGTCTTGTGGCAGATGGTGAACCTGTCGGCAAAGGTAACAGATGTAAGGGCCACACAAGGGAGGGCAAACTCAAATTTCTCATCACCAAACCCCTCTGCACTTGTGCGAACAGATATTTGATAGCCTCCACGCTTTATAGTTTTTCTTCTTCAAGAATCGTTTTAAGTATATCTAGAGGACATGACAGAATTGCACGTGGAGTTCTATTGCTTACAGAATATCTCCCTGCAGCAGAATGGTAGAAAAATGAAAGAACAATAAGTGTGATGTGAAAACTGAGACATTCTAAGCTGATTTGCATGAAAAGCAAATGTGATGAAAGCCAAATGTGACAGCTAATATAATTTGGAGTGATGTATGCAGCTAGTATTTCCCACATGCTCATTAAAGACTTTACTCAACCCCTTTTTCTAGTATAATGTTATAGATTTCAAAGAGTCCAATATGCAGAAGTAATGAGTATAAAGCAGAGTTACTGTGGTAAATTTATAACTTCAGTCAAAACAGAAATTTTGGACCAATTCATTTTATAATTTCCTTGAATTAAAATATAATTTCCATACATTCAGGGCTCTTGAATCTTTACTCAGCTCAGAGCTGCATTTTGTGGATCTACATTTGTGGGACAATTTTTTTTTTTGTCATTAAACTGTCTGTTTATTGTCTAGCTTTCCAGGCTAACATTTAAACATTTTTGGTGAATCATTAGCTTTAGGAAATTGCTCAAACTATTCCTACTAATGGAAAAAACATTTTGTCATTTTTGGTAGTTAGTATTGTTTTTTTTTCAGTTTTTATTCTATGTTTAGCAACTATTCTATTATTCTGTTTAGCTAACTTTTCACATATTCGCCAACTTGCTGTAAAACAAATAATAAATACGTTTTTCATTCCAATTCATTTGACAGATAATGCATTGGAAAAGTGATGAAAGAACAGTGACAAAAGATAAGTCATAAATCTTTTTGTCTGCAAGATACATTTTTTGAAAAGCTCAAACATTGTCAACATAAAGTAAAGCCCAATTTGTCACGCAACAACAAACATAACATAAACAATCGTTCTTGTCTGTGTATTTGAAGACCCCACTGACAATACAGTGACTGTGCTCGGTTCCTCTGGGTTCTTTTTCAGCTGTGTGTTTGTTTGTTTATTTCTATTTTCCCCCATCACAACCTGATAACTGGCAGATCATCCCGTCGACTCTCCCTTAGAAGCAACAGCAGTGTCTGCTGGATCATTTAACAACGCCGCAGTCAACGAAAAGCCAAGTTTTTCAAATTAATTTTATGTGAGAATTTATTTTATGCTCACCTAAAACAAAATCCACTTTAATTCGACAGCTTTAGGAACTAACCTGCCCGCCTCCTTCTTAATGAACACATTTATCTAGTTTGTTTATTTTTGAGACACAGACGCTTTGGGTTTTTCCTGTTTTCCTGTTGTGATAAAAAGATTGAGAGATTTTAATCTAAGCGAGACCGCAGTTGGTTTCATGGAGACACTCATTACATGGATGTGTACTGTATCTGTTATGTTGAACATTGGTAAGGGATGCTAAACCCTCCAATGTGTAGGTATTAACATGACAGATATATGATGACGTATCATCATGTATCTGCAATCTTCGATGATATATAGTATGTCCAGTTTTTCTGTTCTAAACACCTTCTGTCTGCTTCTTCTGAAGTATATATTTACCACCTTATATGTGCATAAACTGTGGCAATGTTCAACATTTCAGACTCATTAAGCCTGGTTTTCTGGGCAGCAGTCAATCAGTTGTACCTTCTGGTCATTTAGTCACAGCCAGCTCTTTAACCATTTTGGCTTGTACAGACGATTCTTTGGAAGATGTAATACATGAGGTAAAATACCTGAACAGGAGTTGGCTGGTGTTAATCTGTGCTGAGATATTTGCATAATTCGATTCGATTGGTAAGCGCTCAAGCTTTCTTCCGGAGATCTGAGTATTTCTCAGCTTCTGGCCAAGTAATAAGCAGCACTTCGAATGGTGTCTTGGCATATGTGCAGTAAAAGATGACAAGTTGATAATAATAGGAAGGCAGAAAAACACTTAAGACTCACGTTCCATCCTCATTGCTGCGGTAAAACACAAGGAAGGGGTCAGACTTGCCAAAAAAGTCCTTCTTGTCCAACTTGTTGGCACACAACTGCATGGTAGCAATATCCTGAGAGGAAGACAATTATTTTTATTATTCATAAATATAATACTGATGAAATTTCATCTCAGAGCCAGCAACATGTTTTATTTTACCCTGGAATATTTCTTTAGAGACAAAGGCAAGGTTTTGAGAAACTCTGCTGCAAGTCTTTTATAACAAGGCTTCCTGTGAATATACAGTAACTGGCAGTGGAAGAAAAAAAGTTTTGCATAATGCTGATGCAAATTTGGATCCAGGGCATCACCAGTCATAACAGCTCCAGAACAGATGTTTATATAACTTACAGTGACTGTCATACAGTGTTTGATTTAAATTACACTCTATTAGTCCTAGAAAACTGTAATAGAGTGTGGTGTTCAGGTGATGCACTGTAAACACAGGGGAAATCCCATCTCCGTTAATACTGTAGTTAGGTAAGTGGGTAGCAAAGTATGGAAAAAACATAGCATTTTCTGTATTACCAACATCTTTTTGTTAGCTTTGTATACAGTTCCTTAGATAAATAGTTGGTTATATCCAGTTTTAGGGTTAGGATTACCGTGTGCGCCTGTGATTTTGTTCAAACACTGCCTCTGATTGGCCTACCACGAAAACTGCCTTAGCCAATCATCATCAACTATGCAGTTGTCTCGTTCTGCCCTTATACCTTATCAAAAAGCAAAACTTTTATCAGTTTTCTGCTCTTTTAATCGGTTGAAGAAGTCGAAGCATTTTTATACTGGCCAATGATAAACACTGGCCATGTCTCACATATGTCAAAATTCACTGCTGAATCACTGCTGTAAAATCTAGTTTATTATCCAGTTCCTAGTGAGGATTTTTGACCTTAATGGATGAGACACCACACATACACAAACATGCCACTTCACTAAATGTCTGCAAATATACTGATGGTAGGTTAGGTAGGCAGAGAAGTTGATAAATTACAAGGCATTGCAATATTGAGTAATTGGAAGATATGATTTAATATTGATTGCATGGGAATTGCAAACCCGCAGTTCGGCACGTTATGAATATGTAAGGAATAATGAAGGATTTAATGAGGAGCTGTGTGCTTCAACGAAAAGACAGGAAGAAAGGAAGGAGGAAGGAACGACGGAAGGAACGAAGGTGGGTGGAAAGACACACTGACATCCAGACAGACAGTTAGATAGATGGATATTGTCAGGAGTAAAACCTCCTGAAGTAATGATGGTAAACACAGCAAAAATAAACCTGTTCACATAATGGCCTCGGGAATGCTTGTATGTTACACACACACACACACACAGACCGAGACAGAGTGAGAGAGAGAGAGAGAAAATTCTGTGAGTATCTGGCTGCCTCGTTGGTATTAATATATCATTGTGGCAGTGGAATAGAAAATTGGAGGCGAAGAATCACTTAGTTGATAGCAGGAAACCATCTTGACAGTTAATTTTTTATACATAGTCAGAAAAAGTAGGAAGAAACCAGGAAAAGAAAAACACCATCAGTGTTTATCAGAGCCGCCCACTGATAAAGGAGAATTTAAGGGCAGGGTCTTGATAGATTGATCCACCTTTACACCCACCAAACATTTCATATTATGATGTGTTTTTTTACAACGTGATTTCATTGCCTCTTTGTCTGCATGATGGCATGTAGACATGTTGGCATGATGGAGAGAGAACTTGATGAAAATGCTCGATAAAATAACGGAGTTCTTGTGTGTATGTGTGTGTGTGTGTGCGTTTGCACTGCCCCTGCAGTTACTTAGCTCCTCGGCAGTTAAGATAATGACTCCACACTTCTTCCCGGGAATCCCACTGAGACGGCGTGAAGCGAGAGTGACAGACAGACAGACAGAGGGAGTGATTGGGAAAAAGAAGTTAATTGTAGCACGACATAAATTATACAATTGTAAAGCAGATGTTATTCACAGTCTCAGCCAGGAGCCGTTATTGTAATTGGTATTTGCTCAGCATGGAGACCAAGTTAGGATAAAGAACTAAGTGTTCTTTATTCGAACTTGGTCTGTGGACTGTAGTTTATTGTTTACTAAATTAAAAGCTCACAATCATTATCACTTTCTTTTTCAAACGAGTCAGTGGAAATGTGTCAAGAAATTCCAAACACATTCTGTGTCATCAACATATATCCTTCAACATACAGAGTATATGTAGAGTACTGTTTGTGGCTCTACTAAGACTAAGTAAATATTATATTCTGCTCAAGACATAGGAGCAACTGTGACACTGCTAAACGTAAAATGTGTGTTGATAAGACACAATAATAACAAATGATCTATTAATTACATACAAATAACATTTCCGAAGTGGTGTGCCACAGGGATGTGTATTAGGACCCTGCTTGTATTTTGTTATGTACTGTAAAATCTCTGGTATAATATAAGGTGATGTTGAAAAAAAAAACATGATGGAAATGTAGCTTTTGCAGCATTGTGACATCACAGTAATATTCAAACCTATGTAATTATTAACAGTTATTAAAATATCAACAGTCTCTCACTTTGCAGCATCATGTTCAATACTACAAACCCTTCCATTGTCACAAAACCTGAATATGTCACATCAATCACAATCAGTCACTTCAGACAGTCATATCTTTGACTAACAGCTCCTTCTGAACTTGTTAGTATATAAAATTTAATTTAAACAAACACATTTCACTATTTATTTTATGACAATTTAGACAAAGCTGAGCCTCCTCTGCTGTCTCGGAGAAACTGTAACTGCAAATAAAGGAAAATCTGCCAGAAGAACATCACTGAGATCACAAAAGAACATAGTGAAGAAAAGGTGCTGCAGTTTAATAAACCCTACATGATGTCAAACTGTGGTCTACTTTTATTCTGGGTAAAATATAAAAAAACGGCTGGTTTTAATCAGATGACATCTAAAGTGGAAAAACAGCACTGGCAGAGAAGGCAGAGTGTGTCCTAATTTTACAGCTAATTTAAATTCTTTGGGTATAAAAGTAAAAATGAAACCTCTTTTACATAATTATTACTTCCAGACGCCTCTTATGATCTTATCCAGCTCCTTATCTTGTGTTTTTATCTGCCGCCGTATGCATCAGTGGAATCTAAATTTAACAGTATATTAACCAGGGGCCTGATACAATGTCAAAAAGCAGAGCCTCTGACCGCTGACCCTGAATATTTCAGCTGTGTCCTAGTTTAGTGGCTCGATTAAACAGAATGAATAATGGAGGCCCCCGTCATCTGACAACTGACACAGATTTATTCAGCTTTGATATCAAACACCGGGAGGACAGAGAGTGAGAAAAAAAAGTGACAACATTGTGACCAGAGTCAAGAAAATATTGATTCAAGCTCCCAGGAAAGTGACAGAGAGGGAAGAAAGAATGATGAAAACGAAGCAAAAACCAATGATGATACATCCACAGTTGTCTGTGACGTGTTTCCCAAAGTCGATGGATTCTCTTGCTCACGCTGTCCCGCCAGCTGCAGCAGCGGCAGCCAGCTTCAGGGACAAAATTATTTATGAATTTGTTTACACAGTGTGTCCAAGTGTGAAGCCGCCAGAAAGCCCACTGGAAACAACAACTGTCTGGACTTCAAAGTGAACGTCCACGCTTTGACTGCAGAATATTTATAACATGTTGTTTCTCTGTGAGCTAATACAAACTTTTGGAATTCCTTCTGTCTCTCTACAAAGGATGCATCAGAGGCGGTGGAGAGCTTTGTAGTCACGGTCTGCAATAAAACACAAGTGCATTCTGATGTTTCAGCAGCAGTGAGCTATTGAATATGCTGCCAACAGCTGTTAGTGAACGACATCCAGTATGGTCTCATGACAGACAGACCATGGTTAGTCCTGGGGTCAGAATCGTCATTTCTAAAGTTCAGAGCACCAACCGCTCCCCCCCCCCCCCCTCCCTTGCTGTCTCCAGGGCCAAATTCTCTGAGTCACTGGCTTAAGGTTCATTCTGGCTCCTCTCTCTGGATGCTGCATCAGAAGCTCTGATGATTGCAAGAGAGTAGAGTTTGAAGGTTCCTCCAAAATTTTGAGTAAAATAAATCCACCAAAAAAAAACAAAAAAAAAAAAAACAAACTCTAAGTGGCCTACATCTTGTATCTTACATGTGGCCGTCCAACTCAAAACCAAAACAAATATTTGTTCAAACTAAAGCCAAAACTAAAGGCCACATTTTATTATCAGGTGTAAGCCACTGAGATATGACCCACATGTTGGACACCAAATATAGCTAACTAAAAAGCTATAATCTATCTGTAAACACCAGGTATTTTGCAGAGCAGGGATTGAAGTGTTGATTTATAGGGAACAAATGCACTTCCCCAATTAGCAGCAGTGGCTGTGTTAATGATAGTATTAGCACCGTACACGCTCACACAATAGCCTCATGAAGATGAAGTCCAGGAATGTGCGCGCAAAGATTAAGTCATGATATATCTGTTGAAACACATTAACCTGGAAAGTCAGTTCACATTCCCTCACTCTCCTAATGAATATTTACTCCTCATTTTATATATTCTGCTATAAATTTTAAACTCCAGGCTAATGCGTTTCATTCCCTTAGAGAAACCGCCTCCTTCTGTGCGCTGACTCTAATGGCAGCATCTTCTGTGCCCGCTCTCTGCCATTGGCCACTGTCACATAAATTATACACTTCACGCCAGATAGGAAAAAAACATAATTATTATTGCATTGTTTTAAAATGAGGCAAAGTAAGATACATCTGCATTAGGGAGAGTGAGGCGGTTGAAGAAGCAAAAGAGCGAGCTGTAGACGTACAGATGGTGGATGAGTTTAAATACCTGGGGTCACTCATCTACAGCAATACACAGTGCAAACATAGAGTCAAACAGAGGGTGCAGACAGAGCAGAGTGTTGGGGCAAAATGTTAGCAACAACAACAGGAGCAGAGAAGGTTTCAAACACAGTTGGAGGACATTGTAATGTATTGATGAATGGTGTAGAGACACTAACTCTGGATGTGGCACAGGCAACGACAGAGCATTTCAACTGAAAGGCTCCAGGATTGACAAGATTATGAATTAGTATCCATAGTGGACAAATGATGTTGAGGATGGGGCTGCCAACCACCTTAGATGTGTCATGGGAAAAACAGGAAGACCCTGGAGTAGACCCAGGGGTGTTGAAGAGGAGGAGACTGTGATAATGTGTGCAACAGCACAAGAGGAAGAAGATAGGTCAAGATGGAGGCTGATATTTCACTGTGGTGGAGAGCAGAAGAAACTGAAGGTGGAGAAGGAAAAGCTGCTCTTCAAGAAACTTGACAAAACTGATGTTAATTTTATTAAATTATTTGTTGGAATGGATTAAAAAAGTGTATACATTTATACACACAATAAGGTGCTCTGTATGTACAATAACTCCACAGTCCATTCACTTATCCTCAATCCATCCATCGTTATTTACACACACTGTGGGGAAGAGTTATTGTTTCAAGAAGCAGCAGGAGCTTAAATTATCATCTCAACACCCAGTGTGTGTTTGTGGAGGCTTTAAAGTCCGGCTCATAGCTTCCATCTGACCAGCCTCACTAAGTGCAGGGCAGTAACTAAGTCTACAGCTGACAATCGGACTGACACAATCGCCAAACTGTTTGCCAGGAACAGTTGAGCGATAAACATTGTTGGGGACAAAGACCTTGAAAGTCACGACTCTAGGTGAGTTGTACAAACCACTGCCAAAATGCACAGTGAGGTTTGAATTATACTGCTGCACCGTTTTCTTGACAATTTTCCAAAATAATCTCGTCACAAATAAATACAGGTGTGAAATACAAACACACTTCCCACTGTTACTTGTCATTTTCTTGTAGAAATATACAAGAAAATAATCTGTTATATTAAAAATGTTGATTGTTCTTGATTAAACACGGATTAAACACGCGTAAAAACAATCACAACTAATCATGATCAATTGTGATAAATCCCCAGCTACTTTGTGATTAAATTGATTCATAAAATTTTAATAATTTGACAGCCCTTATTTGTTGGCTAAACTCCTCTAAAATCCATTTCTCTCGATTACCTTAATATCACATGTGTTATTCCTGTGCTACAGCATTTCCCCAAATGGCAGCTCACACGACGAAGCCAGGGGGGAAACATGACATTTTGTTGTAACTCAGCCACCATACTGTGCGTGTCACCATGAATATATTTTCTTGTTTAGGATGACGTGTTTCACACGCAAACTAAGGCATGCTTTTTTTCACAGAAACAAGGTAAGAAAAGAAAAGAAATGTATGTCAAGTAAATAACTTGAAATGAGACACTGTAATGCAACAAGACATATGGACAATACACACACAGGACAGGCTACTGCATACACATGACCAAATGCTGACAGATGAATACTTTTTCTCTGTAGTATTTCTGGTCCAGAAATAAAGTTTGTACAAGATTTTTGCATAACAAAGAACTTCATCCTACCATGTGTCGACAGGGGAACGACAGCCAATTCTAGCTGGTAAAACCAAAAGGCTTGGTACATTACAGGCAGATTGAATGTCCGTGGCACGGCCGTGTGTATGAACCATGAAACAACAACAACAAACCTTCTCCTGGCCCCTAATCAAACCAAGCCGATATTAAAAAAGAGAGGTAATGACCAAGTTCTGTTACATCAGACTGTACAGTGAAATGAGAAATAAATGTAAAATGAAATATTATAAAAGCTTACTCCTCCTGGAAACAAGAAACACAAAAAAAAATTGTGCCAAGTTTGTGCTAAATCACCGTGTTTTATTAGAATCAATAATGATCATAATCTGCTTTGTGTTGCTACA